TATGTTTATGTAAAGAAAGACAGTGATATAATGATACATGGAAGGTAGTACTCATTTGTAGAGTGTAATTTCCGCCATGATTTTATACACTGAAATTTTATAAATAAAATTTTAGTTTTCAAACCCATAGGGGTAATGAATGTGTTAATATTGGCCAAGTGGGAGAATGTTGGACACGTTTATTCATTAAACGTGGTGTGACCTATATTCTCACATTATATTCTAACCACTTATACTGACGCAACGTTACTGGGAAGTTATAACTACGTGATTTTTGGGAAGTTACGGTGGTTTAATAATAACTGCCATTTTGAATCAAAATAGAAAAAAGGGTTTGTATGATGGATTACTTGTTTCTCGATTTTATTTTGTACAGAATCCTACAGAGGTTTCATGTCTAACAAGTGCAGTTTGTGTTGTCTTCATCAAGTACATGCATCAAGACTTGTATAGGCGTGAACGTTATTAGGATTTCTCACTTTGTTTTGTAGGTATTAATCAATCTGATTTCATAACTAGAGGTAATGCTATCTCTTTGAACTTGATGGTTTCTTTCAATGATGGTTTCTTTCAATGAGTTGTTAACTTGTTACAATAATAGTTAATTAGATGACACCAATTTGCTTTATATATATATACATACGTATACAAGGAAAAAAAAGTTCTGATCCAACAATTAATCACTTTGATTGTACAATAAAGAATTTTAACAGTCGAAGCCTAACGGAAAAAGAGAGCCCAGTTGTTTGCACACACTTTTAACACACATATATTACACACAGTAACACACCCTTTATCACTCAATGCAACGGGAAGGAATACGCGCGCGCGTGTGTGTGTGTGTGTGAGAGAGAGAGAGAGAGAGAGGGAGAGAGATCATTGTATACTTGCTTACAAACAGGAAATGGTGGTGCCAAAAATAAAGTTCATGCAGATACATGAAAAAGTGACACTATATACATACACATATATATCTATACACATATACACACACACACACATAGGGTTTGATATGTAAATAATAATAATGGGCCCCAGAATGCAATCCACGAGTCGACCAATGTGGGTAAGGTTGTGTCACATCAAGTGGGCTCTCAGGAATACAAATTTGGCTTCTTTGTCTGCAAAGTCGAGCCAATATTCCGAGTCTTCCCTCTCGCTGCTTCTCTCTCATCATTTCTTGTCTGGTTTTCATGCACTTTGATATACATATAGTCTTCACTTTACATAACTTTTCCCCCCCCACACAATTATAGGTTTATAAACACAATTCCATGAGGCGGCTTTCAATGTGAAAATTATATGTCCTTGTAATCATTATTATATATGATTACAAGTTATCTACCATTAATTACTAACTCCTATAAATGTCTAAATTAAACAAATTAATATATTTTTTTTCAGTGGAGCTTGTGCTTTTCTAATCATTTCCATTGGAAATTAATGTTCAAAACCAAATCCTTCTTGAATAGCTTTATTACTGCATAAGTTACTATCATTATCTAACTACTTGAGTTAGGCCTACGAATTATTAATTTTCTTATTATTGTTGTAATCATTATTACTTCATGTAAAAGTAGCTAAAATGACAGTGAGAATAAATCTTCTTCACAAAGTTCCAACTATAATTATGATATATATATATATATATATATATATAGAGAGAGAGAGAGAGAGAGAGAGAGAGGAGGGGGGGGGGATTAAGTGCAAAACTAACTTTATAGTATGTTTACAATGTGTATTACAATATTGTTCATATGCGAAAAACACCCATAAAATATTGTGCAAATAAAAAACACCCATAAAGTATTGTACAAATAAGTCATACGTGACACATTTAAAATAGACTCTATTTAGATTACCTTTACGAATACAATTTACACATTATTTAAAAAAAAAAATTATTTTGTGAAAAAAAGAAAAAAGATATGAGGGGTGTGATATGCACTCTAAACATATCATAAGGGTGTTTTCTGTGCTTTACCTATTTTTTTTCCCCATTAAATATTAAACACCCATTTGTTATTATGTAATGAATTATATATATATATATATATATATATATATATATATATATATTTATATGTGTGAAAATTAAAAGAGTAGAACGCAGCGATACGGTGCATGTTCTTAGTGGCAGATGAATGTGGAGTAATTGAATACCCATTTATTTTTTTTTAGTAAAGATTGAGCACACATTTGTTGTTATGTAACAAATTTTATATATAAATATATATGTATATTTGTGTGTGTGTAAAATGATAACTATATTAAATTTTAATTACGAATAATTTTTTATTTTTTATAATTGTATAAAGAAGTGAAATTTTCTTTCCATATATATGATATACAATACATTAATATAAAAACTATGAAGATAAATATATTTTTTTGAGATAAATTTTTTTTTATTTCTATTTGACCCATAAAAGAAATACATATATTAGAACTTTCTAACTTATGAGTGATATTAACTAATATGAAAAGTAAAATAGTGAACTCAATGAGAGATGATATACTGATAGGGAAAATATATAGAGATGATTTTTTTATTTATTTGAAAGGTGAGAAAAAAATCATTAAATATGAGTTACATATAGTTAATGTGCATATACCATCCATCTACTATGAGATTTTTAGCATACATACCCCTTAGATATTTCTAAAAGAGTAAAGGGATAAAACGAGTATTATAACATTATTTTATATCATATTTGTGTTTGAGGGGTGTTTTTGCATAATATTAAAAGAATAAGACGGTTATTAGCACAACTTTTCAAATACGGGATGAAAATGCTTTGTGGAGTATAAATTATAAAATTTCATACCGAAAATCAATTACGATATATCACGCTAATCGGTCATTCTTTTATATACTATTTATTTTGATTTCATTTGACAAAATTAAATTATGGTATTTTAAGTATACATATGTAGCGACATCACTTTAATATTAATTACAGTGACAATGTAATTCGTGCATTTTTTTTTTTTTTCCACCAAAATGAGCTAATTTAAAGAAGAACTTATGACAACTGACCTGGGATGGACCTTTATAGTAGCATTAATATATATATATATAAACATATATATGTATATGTATATTATTTCATATGCAATTGGAAAATCCTATATACATTCTTAGTAATTTTGGTGTAACACTTTGATGTTATGTGCGTTGACTCCAAGGCCTCAAACACATAGTATAAACCTTTCATTGCATATTATACTCCGTATTTGTTTTAATTAATAAAACTTCTACTATTATTGACTGCAAAAGATAAAAGTTTTGATGTTACCCAATCAGTATAAGCTTTTGGCATATACTACTATTTAGAAAATTACAAAATATTAAAACCCTATCAGCAACGTTGTCCATATCTTAAAACCTAAAAATCTTGTGGTGTTAGGAACAAAGTCTACAATGGGACCAAATATAAACATGTGGAAATAAAATCCAATACGTTGTTGCCATTCAAAGTCAAACCATGGAAAAGTGAAAAGTCTAACCACTGGACGGTTGTTATAATCTATAAAGTTGAATGGAGTTAGGTGATCTTACTCCCGTGTCGGGCCCACTAATCTAACGGTGGGTCCTGCTTCATCATCATCAACCAAACCTGGTGGCTCACCTACCAGATCCCCAAAAGGGCTCGTTTTTCCATAAAATTCCTGATTTCAAGGGGTGCTTTTGTCATTTCGAGAAAATTGCTCAAAAGCAAAGAAAGATCACCACCAATAATTACTCATAATTAAATCTTAAATAACCTCCCTTTTCCTCAATTTCTGAGAAGCTTCGACACGACCCGGAAACTAGATCCGCCAAATCATCTCTCGGGTTTGGGTTTCCGATGGACCACATTCTTTACTCATTTCGTTATTCAACCCAATTTGGTCATTCATGTACAAACTTTTGATTTGTGTGGAACACTTTGAGATATTCTAAATTAATGTTTCAATTTTTTGGGGTTCGTGCTTTTTATGTTACTATTCATAGATTTTGTGTATAGTGTTTATTATCACCTTTGGAAATTGTTCTCAACTTAGGGTTACAAGAAAGAAAAAAAAAAAAAAACTATTCTCTATTTAGGAAATGGGGAAATATAAAAAGGATATATATATTTTGAAAACTACTATTGAAGGATTTCTTTTGAAACATCCCACTTTTGTTACCAAAACAAGTTTTCTCATTATCTTAAATTTGCATTTTAAAAGATGGACTTACCCCACTAATTTTATTTTTTTATATGAAAAGTCATTTATAATATTTTATTAAAATCTTAAGAATGCCCCTCAATTTTTGATAATTCCCCAATATATATATATATTTTCCTAAGTCCCCTAATTTATATTCTTATTATTTAAGTTCGTTCCTCTCATACAATTTTGTAAGTCAATTACCATATTTATGATATTATTTTAGCTAAAACTAAAATTAGAGTATTAATAAAGATTTAGAATTTAAATTTGCTCATATAATAAGATTACAAAATTAACCCTACAGTTAACATATAAAAAAGCTACAACAAATGATTGGTGTTATGAAATATAATTTCATTTTTGAATCAACGGCAAGGACTCTTATAATTGGCTCTAAGGGTGTAGCGAGGTTAACAGGGATTCTGAAAATAAGTCTTTAAAACATCACTTTTGAATTTTTTCTTAATTTAAATGATGCGAGCGTGCGTTGTAAGATGATATGTTCTAAAAAAAAATAATTAAAAAAAAACTCTTGTAATTACAATTGTTTTGAATTTTTTGAGCAAGGAGCATATATATATATATATTTCTTTTTAAAAAATAGCACAATTACTAAAAAGACCCTAATCTCGACAACCTCCCCAACCACTCGTGCTGTCTAAACGCGATTATAGATCGAGTACAACTTCTAGAATATATATATATATATATATATATATATATATATATATATTTGGTATGAATGTTAAATTGTGTAAATTAATTAAATTAAATGGAGTAAATTTTAAATTACTTTTGGATTTCGCTTTAGCCTTGGAAATGTCTTTGATTTCTTTTCGTTCTCAGGCGATTTCTTGCTTTTTTTTTCCTCAACTTTGACTCTGCTGTACTTACGCGGACGCCACCAGCAACTTAAATCCGATTATTTCTCTCTCTACATTTTCTCTCTCCTCCTCCTCCCTCGTCGTTATCTCCGGCACCCGACCCCGGAATCCCTGTCTGAAAACCGCGTTATTCACTCCCCACCAACCGGAGAATCGGTTTTCACCTACTCCAGAACCAGTCTTCTCTCAGTTCACACAGTCCACGGCGGTTCAGAGACTATTGACTCTGCTCTCGAATGGAGGTTCTAGGGTTTTGGTTTGGACTGGATGGAGTACGGAGGAGAATGGCAGATCTGTGAATTCCAGAGTCAGTATTGGCTTGAATGTTGGGGATAAGAGAGAGATATCGGTGAGGAGATGTGAAGGTTGATGGTAGTTTACGGACGAGATTGTGGTTTTCTCGTCGTTGATGATGACCGGAACTCCTGAGAGCGATCGCAGCGGGTGGTGGTGTTCGGGTAAATCTTTCACATGGAATGGCAGATCTTGTTAGCTACGGTAATGCTGATCGTGAAATCGAGCAGGTATGTCCAAATTAATCCTACATGTAATATGTGTAGTATTTGTAATGATGATGATATTTTTATGTTGAATTTCCACTGTAGAACGTTATTCAGGTTGATTTTAGGTGCAAAACAATTGAAATTTTTAGGGCTCAATTTCGGATTTTGATACATTTGCTGAAGAAAATAGAGAAATGTTGGGCTTCCCACGAACAACTAACTGATTTTGGGTCATATGTCAATACTTGAATTAGAAATATTTCCCTCTTGAGTGGGGTGATAGTTGTTTGCAAACATTGGGTATGTTCCTGAACCGGAAACTCTTTTTGGATGCTTTATTCTTTGTCTTCTTTATTTGGGTACTAGTTTTGTGGTGACCTGTGTGAGGAGAACCCCTTGGAATTATATAAAATTATTGATCTGATTGTATTTGATGAAGAAATTTAGTTTTAAGATGAGAAGAAGAGAAAGAATAAATGTGCGTGCCGTGATGAAAGGCTATACAAATATGTGATGTTATTATGTAAAAAATGATCGTGGGCATGTATACTATCATTCTGTATATCAATTGCATTATATATGATCTAAAAATGTGTCTTAGTAACTTTAATGCATTGCTCACATTGACTTGTCTTTGGCCGTGGTGTTGAATCATACATCAAATATTATATTACATATTTAGTGCTTCTGGACTTACAAGAAGAAGGACCCCATACTTAAAGAAAATGAAATATAAATTTTCTTTGTATCCTAGAAAACATGTTTGTGATCAATGCAGCAGGATAAATAGAATAATTCTTATTTTATTGTCTTTTCTGTTCGATATTAACTTTATTATCATTTCTTCACACTGTTTTTTCCAGGCATAACATTTGGTACCACTGCTTATGTTTGTAAATCACCCTTTTTAATTTTTGCAGGCATTAATTGCTTTGAAGAAGGGTGCTCACCTGCTTAAATATGGTCGTAAGGGAAAGCCTAAGTGTTGCCCATTTAGACTTTCTAGTGTAAGTTTGTTGTTCAAAGGATTTTTGTTTTGTATTTTATTTATTTATATAGTGCTTGGATGGTGGAAGGAATATGTTTAATTTTATGGGGTTTTTTCATTTTTTAACCATTCCTCTTTGTTATGGGGACAAGAAGTTAATTGATTACATTTTGATATATTTAATGACATGTTTGGACCATGACACGCCTTCTTTTATTTATTATTATTATTATTATTATTATTATTTGTAATGGTTGATAAAGCTCTTATGTTATGGAATGTTGTAACATGCCTTTTCTCTCTATCTCTCTTTTTGAATTTATTTTTGGTAACAGTTGGTTGATGAAGCTCAAATGTTATGGAATGTCGGAGCATTCTTGTATATTGTTTGTTGATTTGGACAATACTTGAGGTTCTCTCTTTATAAATTGTGGGATTTTCCAATTTACCCATGTTTTGGCTTTTATACTTCATTCTTCAACGGATTTGAGTCAGTGACTGATGAATTAAAATTTGAGAAACAATGCTGAGTGTTGACACAACGGATAGTTAGGTAGGACACACTTGCACACATGGTGAGGTACCTTACATGCATAGATACATAGAATTACTTTGGTGTCCCTCCTCTTATTGTTGACCTTCATCATTTCATTATTACCTTCAACAAATTGCCCATATATTTTTCCTCCCTCTCTCTCTCTGTATCCGTCTCTGGATTTTTTGTAAACTTCTATGAAAGCATCGGTAGTCCTCTCCCATTTTTGACATCTTGATAGAACAATTAAAACTGATGCTTTGTTTCATGATGCTAAAGAACTAATAATTAACTTATAAGGGGTATTTCCTCCTTAGTAGTTAGTTGCCTCATTTGTGCCTCTTTCTGCTGATAAAGTATGTCATTTGTGGTGTCTCACTTAGCCAATTGCAGTCCACCACACAAATATGGTTCTGCTGCGTCAACTAAGTTTCATAATTGCGTGACTGGATTATAGAATTCGACAAGATATTCAATTTTGTGCTAAGCTTTGAATTTAAGGGGTACTGTCTAAGCAGTTTAACTGTTTCCCATGCTGGCCTTAATGGGATAAAGTTTTCACAAGCATCTTGTCTATTGCAATTTCTCGACAGTGAGGACAGTTTGGTTATTAGATTTGGTCAGTTTCATTTTTTCTCTGTATCTGCATGATTGGTTTTGTTAACTTTTGGATGACCCAAATTTTTCCCTTGAACAGGATTTCCTATATTTAATGTCAATTAGCATCTTATGTATTGTAGACAGAAATTGATACGAGTAGTTATCACTACGTGTACAATTTATTTTCACTACTTGATACAAAAAGTTCTCCATTTGAGTGTTGATCTCCTCAAGTGTCAATTACCATTTCCTCTTTTGTTTTTTGTTAGAATGGGGATGATACAGATAGTCATCACCTTATGTGCTTTATGTGATCACATATATCCTTAGATTTTCCATTATCCTGACATATAATTCTTGTCCTCTGGACCGCAAATGTGCACTTGCATAATTTCTTCTTTGAACCAGCTACTGATAATGTATCCATAAATCACAGGACGAATCATCTTTAATCTGGATATCTAGTAGTGGTGAAAGAAGTTTGAAGTTAGCTTCAGTTTCAAGAATTATTCCTGGGCAAAGAACTGTGAGATTTTTATAATCTGTTTGATACCGTTATTGTGCTTTATTGTAATATACTTCATTTATTTATTCATTTCTATAATATAACTAAGACACACACACACATGCATCCCAATGGGGACTTGAAATGTGCACTTCCCTTTTGGGATGACTTGAGACCACTTAAGCTAACGAGTTAACAACTGAACCACATTTTGCAACTGGTGATTTCTATACTCCTATTTAACATCATGTTTTGCTTGATCATAATATGTAAGAAATACATGCACAGCACTGCATCCCAAGTTCCCAACAGGGACTTGAAACCTAGGGTGACCTGCGATATCACTCAAGCTAGTAGCTTGTAGTTTGACACCTGCGTATTCGAGAGTTCTTTTTTTTTTTTTTAGCCCGAACATTTTTTCCAACTAATGCTTACAGCAATTTTGTTTTTGTTACCAGGCTGTTTTCCAACGGTATCTGCGTCCTGAAAAGGACTACTTGTCCTTTTCTCTTATATACAACAACGGAAAGAGGTCCCTTGATCTGGTTGGTGATGAATCTTTAGTTTCTGTCAGTGATGAGTGTCTTCAATTTCCACCACCTGTTTTCAACTGCAGTAGATATTCATGTGATATGTTGTTTCTTTTTAGATCTGTAAGGACAAAGTTGAGACGGAGGTGTGGATTGCGGGCCTCAAAGCATTAATATCCTCTGGGCAAGGTGGGCGATCAAAAATTGATGGATGGAGTGATGGAAGTCTCTACTTTGATGTAATTTTACTGACCTAGAAATTTCTTGTTATCAACTTTTACTCTAGGGTGCGATCTTGTTTTGTGCTCTATCTTTTCAGCATTAGCATCATGGAGACCAACTTACATGTTTTTTTACGTCTGACATTCTTTAAAGTTTAAATATCCATTCAGTTCATATTTTTTTTCCATCCATAGTCATGGTATCATACTGTTTCCGTTCAAATATAGGAAGAATTGGAGCTATACATATTAATTAGTTGACATCCTGTGCCTTAGTTTACATCATTTATTCATCACGTAAATATATGATGCACTTGGATTAGTGATCTAAATTATTCAAAGTTGTAAGTAATAGTTCCTGTATTTTATCAACATAATGCTCTCAATTTATAGCATAAAAATTAATTTGTTTAAGGTGCATAGTGCATTCATCCATTTGGTTTTCCTACTAATCAGCAGCTGTATATCATGTCTGACATGTACATTCATGATCAATTGATTTCAGGATAACAGAGATTTGACATCTAATAGTCCAAGTGACAGTTCCATCAGTGCTACACGAGAAATTAGCTCTCCAGAAATTTCTGGAAGCTCCAATACATACACTTCTCCCAAGAGCTATCGGCCTGAGAATTCTGTGCAGTCTGAAAGATCACATGCAGCTTTGGATCACACCAATATGCAAGTTAAAGGATCTGGTTCAGATGCTTTTCGAGTTAGTGTTTCTAGTGCCCCCAGCACTTCCAGTCATGGTTCTGCACCAGATGATTGTGATGCTTTAGGGGATGTGTATATATGGGGTGAGGTTATATGTGATAATGTTGTGAAGGTTGGGGCTGATAAAAGTTTTAATTCTTTGAGCACAAGATCTGATGTGCTGCTTCCCCGGCCATTAGAGTCCAATGTAGTTTTGGATGTAAATCATATAGCCTGTGGGGTCAGGCATGCCGCTCTCGTCACTAGACAAGGTGAAGTTTTCACATGGGGTGAAGAATCTGGGGGACGGCTTGGCCATGGGGTTGGGAAAGATGTCACTCAACCTCGTCTGATTGAATCTTTAGCAGTTTGCGGTGTAGATTTCGTTGCATGTGGAGAGTTTCACACTTGTGCTGTTACTATGGCTGGTGAACTTTACACATGGGGAGATGGCTTGCGAAATGCTGGGCTTCTTGGTCATGGTTCTGATGTCAGCCATTGGATACCAAAGAGAATTTCAGGTCCTCTTGAGGGACTTCAAGTTGCTATGGTAACTTGCGGTCCATGGCATACGGCCTTGGTAACATCAACAGGGCAGCTATTTACATTTGGTGATGGAACCTTTGGTGTGTTGGGCCATGGAGACAGGGGAAATGTTTCATATCCACGAGAGGTGGACTCTCTCTCGGGGTTGAGGACAATTGCTGTTGCTTGTGGGGTGTGGCATACTGCTGCTGTGGTTGAGGTTATTGTGACACAGTCTAGCGCAAGTGCTTCATTTGGAAAATTGTTTACTTGGGGTGATGGAGATAAAAATCGTCTTGGACAAGGGGACAAGGAACCTCGTCTTAAACCTACTTGTGTGCCAGCACTTATTGATTACAATTTTCACAAAGTTGCTTGCGGGCATAGTTTAACCGTAGGATTGACCTCCTCAGGACATGTTTTTACAATGGGTAGTACAGTCTATGGTCAGCTTGGAAATTCCCAGTCTGACGGAAAGCTACCTTGCTTGGTAGAAGATAAGCTTGTTGGGGAATCTGTTGAAGAGATTGCCTCTGGTGCTTATCATGTGGCAGTATTAACACTCAGGAACGAGGTCTATACATGGGGAAAGGGAGCTAATGGGAGGTTGGGCCATGGAGATATTGAAGATCGAAAAACACCAACTTTGGTTGAAGCTCTCAAGGATAGACACGTTAAGAATATTGCTTGTGGCTCAAACTATACAGCAGCTATATGTCTTCACAAGTGGGTTTCTGGTGCTGAGCAATCTCAGTGCTCGGCTTGCAGACAGGCTTTTGGATTTACGCGGAAGAGGCACAACTGCTATAATTGTGGACTTGTGCACTGCCATTCGTGTAGTTCCAGGAAAGCATTAAGAGCAGCACTGGCTCCTAATCCCAGCAAACAATATCGCGTATGTGATTCCTGTTTTGCCAAATTGAGTAAGGTGGCTGAAGCTGGCGTTAATAACAAGAGGAATGCTGTACCACGTCTTTCAGGTGAAAACAAGGATAGGTTAGACAAGGCTGAATTAAGATTATCCAAGTCGGCATTGCCTTCTAATCTTGACTTAATCAAGCAGCTGGATAACAAAGCAGCCAAACAAGGAAAGAAAGCTGATACGTTTTCATTAGGTCGTTCCTCTCAAGCACTCTCATTGTTACAGCTGAAAGATGTTATGTCTACTGCTGTTGATATGCGTCAAATAGTTCCCAAACCTGTTCTTACATCCTCCGGTGTTAGTTCCAGGTCTGTGTCACCTTTCTCAAGGAAACCCAGCCCCCCACGTTCTGCAACACCTGTTCCTACAACATCAGGACTTTCTTTCTCTAAAAGTATTTCTGATAGTTTGAAGAAAACCAATGAACTTTTGAATCAAGAAATTTACAAGTTACGTGCACAGGTATATCAAGAACTTTTGAGTCTCCCTCTTTCTTTCTCTCTCTCACTTCAACTTACCTGCTTTTCTCTACCATCGTGGCTCTATTTAGGTTGAGAATCTGAGACATCGATGCGAAATTCAAGAATTAGAGATTAAGAAATCGACAAACAAAGCTCAGGAAGCTATGGCACTGGCTGCAGAGGAATCTGGCAAGTCGAAAGCGGCAAAAGAAGTGATAAAGTCGCTTACAGCACAGGTTTGCTTTCTCTTTGTTTTTTTGTTTTTTCTTCCCTTTTTTTGTTTGTTCTCTTCCCTTGTTTACACGTAAATATGATTTCCTTTAAAATGTTTCTCGACATGCTATTTATGCATGGTGTTTGGTAGAAGTTGCACAAGTTACATATTTACTTCATCTAGCAATTCACTTATCTGTCCTGCCTTAATAATGTTTTTTTTTGTTACTCCAATGGTGAACTAATCTTTTAGCTGACATCACTGTCCATGAATTAGGACATTTAATATTTGCATAAATTTGTTTGTGTGCAGTGGCATTGGTTCTCTAACTATGCTTAAAATCTTCTCATTCTTACATCATGTATTTAATGCAGCGTGTTTTTACCTACCTCTACATTTCCATGTTTATGTTGCTAAATTACAAGTCAGAACAGAGCAATTTCTATATCAGATTTCTTGTTTTAACTATTTTCAGCTTTACTTGGATGTGCTATTAATTATATTATTTCTACCATCATAGCTCAAAGATATGGCTGAGAGGTTGCCACATGGGGTTTATGATGCTGATAGCATGAAGGCAGCTTTTGTACAAAATGGTTTGGAGCCAAATGGCATTCACTATCCTGATGCAAATGGAGATCGTCATTCTGGTCCACTCAACCGCTCTAGCTTGCCCCCTCTCAGGGGAGTTGACCCTACAACAACAAATGGAACACAGGGTCCCACTGAATTGCTTAGGGATCATCCTAGAAGCAATGAAACTAACCCATACCATCAAAATCAGGGGATTCTGACCTCCACTAAGCGGGATGACGATCAAGATGTCAGACTTCCAAATGGTAGTGGAGCGGTTCAATCGGGTAACATTAATGCATCAGAGGCTGTTGACAGCCGGGAATCTGGGCCTTGCCAAGACGGTGACAATGGTGTGAAATCTAGAAATTCAGCATTGGATGGTAATGCTAATCAAGTTGAGGCCGAGTGGATTGAACAATACGAGCCTGGTGTGTATATAACGCTTGTAGCCCTCCAGGACGGAACTAGAGATCTCAAACGAGTGCGCTTCAGGTACTTGACCAAATTACTTTCATATCCTCCCATTCATATTTTATATTATTGTTTAATTTAATGCATGTATGGTTACCACCAGGCTACTAGCCCGGATGGTATGAATCATTTTCTCTCCTCCCCGATGGGGAGGTTGAGAGTTTGAGCCTCGCGAGGGGAATGTTGTGCGTGTGTTTGCTTTAGCTTCTGGGAAAACACACACACACACACACACACACACAAACACAAACACAAGTGCAATGTATAGTTTACTAGTTAAAGAAATGATATGAGAGATTTATTTGGTAAAAGATCAAGTTAGATGATTTTAGACCCTTCTATGGATTTAAATCCCAATCTAATTAGGATGATGATTCTTGTCAGTGACTCTTCTAAGTATATTGAATAATCTTTCGACTCAGTCCTGTGCTTGTACATCTGCTACATGCATATTTAACCTCCCTGTCTTGGATCATGGTATCGCTGTTTTGGTGTAGACATTCAATACGGATATTTTATTTTTGTCGTTGCGAGTCTGATTTTGTGATTGCATTGGCAGTCGGAGAAGATTCGGAGAGCACCAAGCTGAAAACTGGTGGTCAGAGAACCGTGAAAAGGTTTACGAGAGGTACAATGTTAGTGGGTCAAACAAGTCGTCAGTTCCCGGCCAGGCAGCACGACGATCAGAGGGAGCCCTCTCACCGTCTTCCCAATTGTAGCAACAGTGAAGGAAGTTCCTCATTAGCACTTTTTGCATTTGTTATAATGATGGTTTTCTAGGTTAGGTAAAAACCCATATTGGAAGCAAACCCCCATTTTCTTTTCCATTTTCATAATTTATTGTCGCTCAATTTAATGTTCTGGGTATCTGCCCTTTACCTAGCCGTTGTATTGTAGTGTATATAAAATCCTCAATTGTGATAATCGCTGCAGAAAAGTTTTAGTTACCTTGGACTTTCTTCCTTTCTTTCTTCTGCAACCCTCTCCTAACTGTAGTCGTTTTTTATTCATACCAGTCTAAATATTTTTGGATAAAATCATCTTGGATGGTTGAAAAAATTATTTTCAAACATTATTAAATGAGGAATATGCTAAAGAAGTTGAGACTAGTGAACTCATAATAGGTATGTGAAGTCTGTTCAATTTTTTTAAAAAAGATTAGAGGAAACCCTTAAAAGGGATGGAATAATAAAGGGTTTGTAATTGAATGTTATCACTTTAGTTTGTAAAAGATGGTTCAAGTTTCATATGGACAAAAAATGTTCAAGGGTGTTATTTGCCATGAAAAGATACATTAAAAGAAGAAAAGAAAAGAAAAGAAAGAGTTGTAGGAAGTGAGAGTATATAGATTTGGAAAATGATACTGGTGTTTTGTTGCATGTATTGCCAAACTTATTTTTTATAATTGGCTCATTTATGCATCAAATAAGGGAGTGGGGTCACTTACTTGTGTCGTGCTTAAATAATATATTTAATTTAGTCATATTTGGTCATAAGAAATAGAGTATAAAGTTATTTTATACTTTCTTTTGGTCAAATTTGATGTTAAGAAATAAAATATAAAATTTTACGGTAGCATACGATCTACTCTAAATAAAGTTTGATACGAAATTTTGACCCTATATTTCTCATATGACCACTCTTAATAAAGTTCGACACAAATTTAATACTGTTGTATATTTCTAATATTGTTCATTTTCAAACGATTAAATTTGTGAATCAAAAACTGCTGAGAGCTTTGAAGTGTTATAATAAGGTGCAACTCATTATAAATATCATTTAATGAAGGAGAAAGGACAATGAGCAACAGCGTACAGCGTGGTAAATTTTATGTTGACTAAACAATCGAGGAAAATGTGTCAATTCCAATAAAGGAGTTGGGTTCTGTCTATATTTACTAAAACAATTAATAAAAGTTTGAAAGAGTGAAGAAATAATCATATTTACAAAATAAAATAGGATAAATTGCACTCACATTTTTTAAAATTTAATATAAAATATAAAATTTGTTCTTAATTATTTAATTTAATTAATTAACAAAATATCAGCCAATTAATTAACACAAATACTTTCCATTATTAGGCATTTGAAACACACAAAACTATGAAGCACGAATATAGACACTATACGATACGGATACAGTGACACGGTAAATTTAAAAAAACACGGATATGTACACGGCGGGGATGCGCCTATAAAATTATATATATATATATATATAGAGAGAGAGAGAGAGAGAGAGAGTATTGTGAATTATGAATATATAATTATATATTCAGAATCCACAATACCATAAATCTAACCTCCACCAAAAAAATACTGCAATAAAAGAAATACTTCAATTAATTAAGAACAAAACAAAGTTATCAACAACTTTACAGTTTATATTTTACACACATCCACAAGTATAATTGTTCTGATTTCTCTCTATTTTTCTTGCTACGGTCTAAAAGTTTATTTAATTCTAGTACTGAGTTAAATAAATTAAATAAAAAAATAAACATAATAGAATCATAAAATTTAATTAAAGTAGAAGTTCAGAATCTCAGACAAAAGAGTCAAAAGAGTTAAACTTCTAAAATTACATTAGGTACTCTATTTTTCTTAAAAAAAATTACAAAATATACCTCGTCGTGTCCGGTACATGTCCTCCGCTTGTCCCAGCCGTGTCCACCCTGTGTCTAATAAACAATAATTTTTGGACACTTCACAGAAGTGTTGGACAAGCGTGTTCGTGTCAAACACGTGTCCGACACTGGTATGGGACCCCTGGGAGAGATGTTTGTGCTTCATAGACTCAAACACACCACCATTACTCAAACCCACTACCTAACCCTTATTCCTCTGCGTGACTCATCGATCTAACTCACCACAACCACCGATCCACCCAAACTGTCCACCTCCAACTGGTTGTAAGTTGCTGCCATGCTGCTCCCATAATCTTCCACCATCGCGACAGTATGGGCAAAGAAAAAGATCAGTCTGAGAACTCTCAAAAGTTCAAATTGAGGAAGAAAACAATCAAATCAGGGAAATAGATGGCCAATAGCGGGAACCACCAACATCGCTACTATCTAGAGACGAAGGATGCGGGAAGTGCAAAGGCATCCAAAGATCCTGTGATGGCAGACGTGGTAGAGGTTGAATGGGCGAGGGTTGGGGGTAGCGGTGCCACCGAGTTCATTGCACTACAGGCCGCCGCCGCAGTCGCGGATGTTGCAGGAGAAACGGTTGTTGGAGTAGGTGAAGCCGTGCGAGCACAGATACGACCGAACCTGTGCTGGCTAGGGCCGGGGATGGACCTGTGGGCAGAGGCAGAGCCGGTGTATGCCCGAGGCACGTGCCCCCTTACCCTGGTCTCGCTTACTATAATACATATATTAATTTTACATATTTTTACATGTATATATGAGAAAATTCATATAATGCCCCCCTAAAACTTTTGTTTTTTAAAATTATTTCTTAAATTTTGTATTTCTTCTCTTTTTTACTCTTTAAAATATCTTTAAATTCATTTAATTTTCTTTTAAAAATGTTAAAATTTTCTTTTTGAATAAAACTCTAATTTTTTTCCATTTCAAAATTCTCTTATTTTTCTTTCCTTTTTTTTTTTTTTTTTTAATTTTTTGTTAACTATTTATCATTCTTAAACTACTCATTGACTGACATATTATTTTGAGTAATTTTTCTTCTTTGTTTCTTGATTTATAGAATTTATATTTATTATCGTTTTTTTTTTTTTTTTTTACACTATGCCCCCTGAATTTAATTTCTAACTTTGCCCTTGCTTGTGAGTTAGTTTATGGAGGGGAAGCCACCGCGCTCGAGGACAGGTGGCCGGCGTTGGGTTGGATGGCAGGCTGGATGGAGACGAAAGTCATTGCTGTTGGAATTAAAAAAGCGCAATAGAGTCGGCAACAAATTACGGTTAGTAATAAGCACGTTAGGTGTTTGGTGATACAATATAATAAGTACTTTTCACAATTAAATTATTTTTAAATTTATTTGGTAACAATTTTTTTTTTTAAACACTTCTATTGCTATTTTTACAATAATATACTTTAATGTGATGTTACTGTTAGAACTTGTGTCTCAAATTCCTATTCTAATTAGGATTCTATTTTAGAGTTGTTTTCTATTAAGTAATTTCTTATTTGGCAAGTCTTGGTCTCTAAGGAAATGTAATCCTTGTCCAACAAAGAATTATGTTTGTAACTCTATAAATAACAGCGGCATTCAACTGCTCGCTGGTGAGCAAGGAGTAGTATGCTCACTTTTAATCCTGACCTTGGAATCTAATCCTATTGTAATTAATTAATCAGTGTTTCCTTTTTATATTTAAGGCAATTGCTTTATTTTATTTTATTTTTTATTTTTTTATTACCATTATATATTATTAATAGGAAATGAAAAAACTAGACATGTTTTTAATGGAAATAAACTAAAACCAAATTGGTTTGGATTTTCTTTTATACGAATTCCTTCCTATCCGAATTCTCAAAGCATACTAATTAAAAATAAAAAAATAATCATTTCCAATCCCTTCAATGATAGAAGGTTGAAACATAAAAGGCAATCACATCTGGAAAAAAAAAAAAAAAAAATGAAATTTCCAATTCCTTCAATGATAGAAGGTTCATTCCCTTCGTTCCCATCTGTTCAGCCAGGAAATTCTTAAAGCATACCAATTAAAAATAAAAAAATTATTATTTTTCATTCCCTTCAACGATAGAAGGTTGAAACATAGAAGGCAACCACATCTGGAAAAATAAAAATAAAAATAAATTTCCAATCCCTTCAACGATAGAAGATTCATTCCCTTCATTACCGCCAAGCCAATAAAAAAATTCCCAACAGTTCATAGTGGTACTCTTCTTCTTCGTAACCAAGATGAATAAAATTAATTAAAGAGAAATAAGTAAGTCTTGTTTTTTATAATTTCCTCCCATACTTCATCCATTCTATTGATAAATTATGTAATAAAAATTATGAAAATACATTAATGTTGTCCCTTATCATTGGCAGTTGAAAAATTCGCATAGATTCTGGCAGAGGCGTTAGCGGTGGCACATCTCTTCTTTGCAACTCTTGTTGATTGCATCATCTTGTAATACTTCCTTTCGTCAATTTATTAAAGGTATCTCTCTAAAATCTCTTATTTCATCTTTTTGATGACTTGTATCATTGGTAGGTATTTGTTATAGATTATGTGTGATCAAAATTTATTATTATTATTATATTATTTTGGTTGATTGATAAAGGATACTTATAATAGGAATACCATGGTACTTCCATCTTTTGGATAAATCATGGTTTTGACCTCAAATAAAAGCTTTGAGTATTAAAGTTGGATTCAAAGTGCATGGTGACGTTAGACTAGAGGAATGTATTTGAAATATTCATGTGTGGAGGTGATTATGGAGTACAATTTGGCACATAGAAAATAAATTAGTTATGTCAAATATTTGGAGTTTATTAGCAATGAAATTATAGGTCTAGCTTTTGGGGGAAAAAATTGAGACTTTGCCTAATATAGAAAAAAAATAGTAAACATTGAGCTCGTGGAAGATGAATAGAGCATCTTCAAGATCTTATATTCACACTCTATTTCAAGTTTAAGAACGATCCTAAGAACTAACCTTTAATATATACCAATCAAAATGTTCAAAGTGTTAATCCTGTTATAGCATGCCAAAATGTGTATAAATATCATTTTAGTACCATTTCTAAGTTTTTCCAATGTCCTTTATTTACAGAATTCTAATAAAGAGCTATGTTTTTTTTTTTCGGTAATTAATAAAGAACTTTATTTAATTTTTTTTAGAAGTTATGATCAAATTTTATTTGTTACACGTTTATTTTTATTTAGGTATGGATGGTATAAGGTTGTGGGGAAATGAAAATGAGAAAATATATATTCCTCAAGTGGCTTATGAGAGAAAACCAA